GTATTATTAACATGACATCTCCCTCATTTTTAGACCAATATATTTAAGTTCTGTCAGATCTTAATTCCAGGCAACTCTCCTAGTGGTATGATAAAGAAGTACTCAGCAGGTATTTTTGCAGATTCTTTCCTCTGCCAATGTTTTCCACTATTCACTGTCTAGGATACATTTAAATTTTGTCAGACCAGAAGTAAGGCTACCTATGCCAAATCAGGGAGCAGTGAAGGGACTGGGTGCCAGTTATTTAAAGGATGCCTGTGGCAGGACAGAACTTTAGAACTGGCAGATAACTTAGAGATCATGTAAAAATCGGTGTCACTCCTCGTTTTAAAGAGGGTGAAACTGAGGCTCTCACAGGTTAACTCACTCTTTCCAAACATAATTTCCTAACCTGGTAACACAAGTCTTACTTTCAGAAGAACCCTAAGGTATTACACAGTAAGTTAGTATCATATCACGATCTGGGACACAGGGCTTTTATACTACAAATCCATTATTTTCATTATATTAAGATAAATCCTCCACTTTCCTCCTTTCCTGGAATTTTCTGAGCCTATATCTTCTCATATTATTCCAGTGACCTCTGCTGTTCCTAAGATAGTACAAGATTCCAATATTTTCTTCTATTTAAAAAAAAAAATTTTTTTTTATCATTTTACCAACATGTCAAACTAATAGTGCATAAAGGCAATATGATAAATTTCATATTTGCACCTCCTTCAAGCCCATTCTGCCTTTGGAATGATAAGCCGAATGTGTGTTAGTATCTGTACATAATTTGTTTTGTTCAGATTCTTTGAAAACTTACTTGTGGATTTGATGGGTGTTGTGGGTAAAGAAGATGGATATCTCTTGTGTACAGAACATGGCATCCATATCTCCCCCCGCTCCCCAAACTGGCAATGCTGTGGTGACGTAGTCAAGAATATAGAATATATTCTTAAATAGAATATAAAGTCCTGTCCTGGGCCCCTGTGAGGATGAAAGTTCTACAAGCAGGACTGAATCGTTTCTAGCTTCCAGAATGTTTTGCGCATCAAAGTGCTTATGATAAGCTTCGGCCCCATAAATCAGTTCATCAGTGTTGCCACCGATGACCAGCCTACCACGCTGGGGTCCACGGTGACCTGCCCTCAGCTCTCCTCCTCGGCTCCGTCACTTTTCCCAGCTGCTAACAGCCTAGCTCGTCACTATCGTGCAGATAGTGACCGACCCTGACCTTCTCCCAGCTCAGGGTTTTAAAACATGCCCATAAAACGACAGAGACCTTGAAACTCCGTTTAGTCCCTTTCCTGTCTTTTAGCAGAACCACACCCAGACCGTTCCAACCAGATGAAACTCTCTTGTTTTTAGATACTCGCCGAGAAAGACTGGTCGCCCTTTGCCGGGCACTCACTGTGGGCAGCGCTCCGGTGGCCATTCCATGCCTCCCTGCGGGAGCTGACCTGCAGTCGGAGCCCCCTTGCTCCCTGACCTCTGAAGTCCAGCTGAGTGGCTCCGAGCCCTCCGCCACGACCCCCAACCCGGTGGACAGACCTCAGAGAGCCCCGCAGCCCCGGCGCACATGCCGGGCGTCGTCCCGCCTCGCAGAGATGACCAGAAGGTGGGAGACCCCCGAGCCGCAGCCGGAGGGGCGGGGTGGGCTCGCACCGCTCGCTCTCGCGAGAGCTCGCAAGATGGGGTCGCCGGGCAGCTGAGGAGGGGGCCGCGCGGGGGGCGGCGCTGCGGCTGCTCTCAGAGGAGCCGGCGGCGGCCGTTTCCCCGCCTTCCCTGCCTTCCCCTCCCTTTGAGCGGTTCCAGCCGAGCGCTGCCCACTTCCGCCCCCTCCGCCTGCCATTGGAACTAGCTGCGCTGGGCAAGTCGCGGCCGCCGAGCAGCCGGCGCTCCTGTCCTCCTCCTCCTCGCCTCCTCTTCCTCTCGCCTTTCCTCTTCTTCCGTGGCCGACGCCGCCCCGAGGCCTCGCGACCGCCGAGGCCGCAGCCCGCGCCGCGGCCGACATGAGCTTCTTGTTGTGAGTAGCCAGGCCCCGCACGCGCCGGCTTTGTTCGGGTTCCACCTGGGCCGCGGGCTCCCCCTCGGCTGCCGGCGCTCGGCCCGCCCGGCCGGGCGTTCCCACCGGGCAGGGCTCCGCGGACTGCCCGGGGCGCTCGCGCTCCCCGACGGCCGCCTCCACAGCAGGCTTCGAGCACGCGTGGGGTCCTTTAGCGCTAAGGAAGCTCTTCGCCCCGATATACGCCGGAGCCTGCGTCCGGATTTCTCCATCACCCCAGCCTCTGCCTTCGCTGCTGTTCCCGGGTGTGTTTGTTTGCACGCTCTTCGTAGATACCTCCCAGTGTCCCGCGTGACCCGCATCCAGCGCCTGTCTCCGGCTCGGCTGCCCGTTGCTCTCTTTGGGGTCCCAAGCACAGAAGATAGAGCGTCGTACTTTGCCCCGTCACCCCAGGACCCTCTTATCTTCCCTCTTAGTTCTTAGGGGTGGGAAGGTGGGGTGACAGGTCCTGTGGATCAACATCGAAATAAGGTCGCGGGGCGGGATCCGCTGGTGACAGCCTGGGGTCTTCGGGGAAAAGGGGTCTGGAGCAGCCGCCTTGATTCCTAGAGGCGCCCTTCCTCCTAGAGTGCTTGATGAGTGCGGGTTTTTATCTTTTTAAACTACCTCCAAATAGGGTTTGGGTATGTGTCTTGAGTTGATTAGGTCCACTGGGGAGTTGTCTGGCAGATCATTTGTAAGTGCCACTTTGGCGTCCTATTTAGTGCTGGTCATTACTTCACTTATCGTTTGTTCCAGACGAGTGTTGGGGGCGGGGGCGTGGAGAGGGAAGGGCAGGAAATGGGACGGCCAGATGTGGATGTGGGGGCAGCAGACGAGCCTCGGGTCCTCCCAAAACAGGGGTTGCACACTGAGGAGTAACTCTTTTGAAGGCTTTACTGCTGCGGAAAAGATAGCACTTAAAGATTATTTGTGGTTATTATTTCTCTTTTTTCCCTGCCTCCCATAAATTTTAGTCATCATATTGGCGTCTGAATTCTGAGAATCACCTTTATTTTCACATGCTCATATGTAGAATGTTAATTCTTTTGAGGGTGTTTAAGCAAAACTGAGCGATCACAGATTAACCTCA